ATCTGAAGTAGAAATAGCACAGTCGGACCATTCCGAGGGATTATCTAGGAGGGAATTCTAGTTTTCGCAATCTAAATCGATACTTTGAACTGAGAAGAACTCCGCGGTACGAATCGTAAAGTATTCTATTCCCAAAGACTGAATAAATTATTGTTAGCAGGCCCATAATTCCAGCTTAACAAATTCAAATAAGTTAATACAATATTTGTCAAATGATACCTTTTCATAAAATATACGAAACTTATTATTTTCAATGGTCCTGTAAGACCATAACACTCCTAAGGGATGTTACCCGCTATATACCGAATTTGTCATGTCCGAATTTGTAAAACAAAAATTCAACTTTAACACAGTCAGAACTACTTGATATCTCCTTAATTATATGTTTTGGTGAAAGCTATACAATTATATCTAAATACAGCTAGTTTGCTAAAATTTTGAATACAAATTTCTATTGGTAAAATATATTTTATCACCCACAGTTTTCATGTGATTTAATTGTATACATTGAAATAATATGCAGAATAATATGCATGAAAAAAAACTAAGTTAAAATAATTGCATTTTATCTCTGATAAAAAAACTGCATTTTGTAAAATTATGTAGGGTTATTTGAAAGAATAAAACAACTATACATTGTTACAGAATATTTCTTCAAAGCTATTTTATATCAAAGTGTCGGCTGTATGTTACTTCCCGTCTTCCAAAATTTTAAATCGTTGTTCGAAAATGTACATAGTTTAGTTTCTATTTCTTCTGGTTTCTCTTTTTAATTTTTTCTTATTCTAAGTAGTGGTCCCCTTGGTACAGAATGCAATAAAATTTTATGACGGCTCCAAGATGACATTTTTGAATTAAAGAATCTGCATTAGAACAGTAAATTTTCTGACAATTAATAAAATTTGTGGTAACGTAAATGAGACTTTCAAAATTAATAACATATTTCTCTTAATGCAGTAAAGATCTACGCCGTTGTTTAAGTTATGAAGAACCAAAATGGAATAAATTTCACAAAATTCATAAATATTATCTTTCATCTTCATTAGCTAATCTACAAGATTCTGTCGAATTTTAAAAAAAAAAATGTACAAAGAAATTTAATCAAAACACTAAAAACGCTTTCTTTTCTTTATAGTCAGGAAAAGTTTATTACAGACCTATAAAGAGAATGTTTTAAAGAAACGCTCCAATTCTTGCTGGGAAATCAACTTTCATAAAAGACTTAATCCAGTGTGCTTCTAGGTAACTCCGCCTAGTTCTCCAAAAGTAATCTTTCCCAAGTCCCGAAGTTAAACACTTCATATTTTAAGCATTCCGAAGGAAATTCTAAGAGCTCGCGGTATTTTATGAAGGAATGCGAGCCCGGAGTACTTTTTTTTTTCTCCTTAATTCGAGTTAACTTTGAAGCTTTTTCGTTGCTCATTTCTGCCCTCTTCGTAGTTTTCAGCGCGATGCACTTTCCGCGCTTTCTGCTTGGCTGTCTATCTGAAACTAAAATTAATTCTTCGCGATTCGCATCGGTCTTATTATGCACAAAATTAGCCAGAAGGGAAGTTGCTTAAAAAGGTAGTCCAAAAATTCCTTCTTCAACTATGATAAACGTTTTGTTTTAAAAATAAATTAATCGATTTGCCGTTTCCCTAAATGGCAATTTCATTACTAAATTAATTGGTTTTGCGGAACACTGTAAATTAATTAGTACTTGTTCCACAAATTATGATGGTTGCAAAAACTTTTCGAATGACGAGGGAGCTTATGAAATATGTAAGTATTCAAGAAAATTTTAAAGGAATACTTGAACGTATTCAAAGAAATGTTGGCTTTAACAATGGCAACTGTAATAACTATAGCATTAAATTTTCAGTGTCTCTGATTTTCGATCCCTTTTATTCTTACATTAAATTTAGGAACATCTTTAACGAAATCATTCCAAATATCGCGCCTTAATGGCTGAGCAGTACGACCACTAGTCATTGGTACTTTATATCCAGGTTCAATTCCCCAGCAAATATGCTAACTGCATGGGTGTGGTGTGGTGTATTTAATTATGGCAAAGCACACGAGGGCTATCTGCCTAAGGGGAGGGATGCCTTTCGTGGAGGACTTTCTAAGCGAAACTGGCTGGTATGCACGTTACACATAGGGAAAACCACGAAAACACCCATGCAGCCAGCCCGTTCGCGGGATTCGAACCTCGGACCGAACTACCAGTGTTCAGCGACTTTACCGCTCGGCCGCTGGTGGGCTACTAACTGCATGGGAGTTTTTGCGCTTTTCCTAGTGAGTAATGGAAATACGAACTACTTTCCATTAAAAGCACTCCACGATGATATCCCTCTCTTCATATATGAAATTTCCTTTTATAAGTAACCTATGGCAGCGGTGATGATAAGTCATACCGTGACATTTCATTGCACGGGACATACAGGGAAGGCTTACTTCATTCATTCTAATCTCCTTGCTCAACACATCGCACTTGTCATCAATCGTCAGTACATGTAGTTAGTGCAGTCACATTGCCACGTGTAGTACAGAAACTAACTGAAACTTATTCGCATACCTTGAATAAAAAGGTAAATGAGGTTTGTAACAATATTTATTTGAATTTATTAATGTTGTGTAGTATTTACTGAAATTTAAAATAAAATCAACCCGTCGATAAAAGTTTATGTCAATTAAGCCATTTCTTAAAATTGCAGTAACATTCGGTATGTCGAAAAAGCATCAATGTAAAGTCGATGGGTAGGGACAATAGATATGTCGCTTATGGATTCACTTGTGCTACAGAAAAAGACGGTACGCAATGACTACAATGTATTTGATGTTGCAAAATGTTTTCCAACTCCAATTTTGAACCCTCAAAGTTGTTAGAAGATTTCAATAATCAGCTGGTGAACTTCCAGGACACGATTTGACGCCAGCTGTACTATCAGCAAAATTTAACGTGGGAGCAGTTGAAAATCCTTTGCTAGAAGCTTCTTTTCTGTGTGGGAAGAAACAAAAGAGCCATGCAATAGCTGAAGAATTTGTAAAACCATGTGCACTTGAAATCGAAAACGTTTTGTTAGGTTCTGAACCACAAAATGAAAATTCAACGAATTCCGCCATCAAATGATATGATTCGATCGTGCATTGAAGAACTCAATGCTGACATTTTATTACAAAGAGCCAAATATATCAAAGCCAGGCCTCCAAAAAAAGCATCCAACTGAACGAGTCAACTGATATTGATAACTACAGTCAGTTATTAGTATTTTCGCGATAAATTAAAGAAAATGAAATACTAGACAATTTTCTATTCTGTGAACAGTTTGATGCGACGACAAACAGCATTGTTTTTAATCATATTAATTTTTTTAAAGACCAAACACCCGTAACTATTATAGGCTCAGTTTGCACTGATGGTGCTCCTGCAGTGTTGGATAAAAATTCGATATTTATTTCATATATGAAGAAAGAAATACCACAAGTTACAATAATGCACTTTATGTTGAATCAGCATGTACTTACATTGAAAACTTTATCAGAGAATTTGAAACAATATCTAACTACTGCAGTGAAAGTTAAGTACATCTGAGGACGAGAGCTTAATCATAGGTACGTAGGTAGGTTACGGAGGACTGGAACAGAGGTAAACAGGCATGTGTTCCAAACCCTCCTCTAACTACGGCAAAAGCTTCCTGGAACCACACGAGGCTGCACCAGGAGATTATTGAGGTTATCAAAGGGAAGTACATGGCCTTACAAGGGCATTAGTAGGATTGTATTACAGTTTGAAGAGGCAAGCTGTGGTGTTACAGATAGTAGGTAGTTAAACTAAAAATACTTGGATAATAAGACGTACGCATAAAAAAACATAAAAATGCATAGGCAACAATACACAAAGCACAATGCGTAAAATGCATAAACAGAGAGCACAAAAAACAGGTACATACACATAGCCACTTAAGGCACAAAAAGATAAATGGAGTACATGAAGTCACATGAAAGCTGGAGCACAATGTTAGTGTAAGGCAGTTCTGTTGGATATAAATACAAGTACATCTTGAATGATAAATGATGATGAGTTCATGAATACTCATGTGTGCAGAAGAAGAGTGCGGTTAGATTGCTAAGGCGTTGATTATTGTAGCATCGCTAAGAACATAGATAAAAAACACTGATAAAAGGCACGAGGATGTGTGTGTAGCACTAATTATTGGGCAGTGCCCCAGCAATGCCCCAGCAATGTGCACCGTGAGGCACACAAGCGTTCACTAACACTGCGTAAGAAGATTTTGTTCACATGCTGTTGAAGGGATTACACACGTATCATTATGGAGGCATAACACATCTCTCTAAGGAGATGCCACATATTTGCGAATTGTTAGTATTGCCACTTAAGATTGTGGGCAGGGGAGCTTAAACACACAGTTGTGGTGAAGCCCAGATATTGTAAAATTCACTGGACTAGTCTTAGAGCTTATCGTCAGTACACCATAGCGTCATTTTAGCACGGTAGGCAAAGTTCTGTGCCCAATGCCGCGATGGTATTCATGATGCTGGAGATTGAATTAACCGCTCCTTTATGCGTTATAAAGAACCGGTGATAGGCGTTCCTATTATTTGTAGGTAGCGGAAGATGGTGTGCAGCCGTCAAAGGACATTCAAATACGTAATGGTCTGGTGACCCTTCTGATCCACAGACACAGATATCTGTATTTGAGATGCCGTGGCGATTGTAATAGCTGGGAAACGGGCCGTGACCCATGATGAAGTAGGTGAGAGGTGCTACGGCAAAGAGTCGATCGGCGGAAACTTTCGGGAGGTAGGTGAAAGTCCGTCTGCCTGTCTCGCATTCGGTCCACTCACGTTGCCATTGGTGCATTCCTTGCTCTCGTAGGAGGCCCTTTAGATAAGAGCAGGGCGCAGGTACGGTGATGGGTTGGGCTGTCGGGTTGGAAATTGCATCTTTGGCCAACGTGTCACAGCCTCGTTTGCCCTCATTATTCGCATGGGCTTTAACCCAGACTAGATTGAGAATGGTAATGAGGGTGTTGCATAAGGAGATGTTGGAGACTGAGTATGAGAGGTGAGAGTGAGACATGATGATGGTTCTCAAGTGCAAGTAAAGTTGAAAGGCTATCGGTATAGATATTTGCTCGTGGGATCTGGCAATCTATGAGATGTTGCACTGCTGCCGTAATTCCCAGTACTTCCGCCTGGAAGATGCTATTGTGAGTGCGAAGTTGTCCTTGCCAGTCGTGTACAGTTTTGCCATTCTCATAGTGCACAAAAGCACTGCCTACACCATTCTCCTGCTTTGAACCGTCTGTGTAGATCTGGTTCCCATTCCGTGGTGCGTGTGTCGAGGTGTGAGTCTGTTGCTTGTCAATTTTGATGTGGGTTCCACTTCCTCTGAGAGCTGGATGAGTATGGGTAGAAGTGGAGGGACGTTCGAACTGGACTGGACTGTAGCTGGTATTTGCGAAAGTTGCATCTTTGCGTAGGTGGATCAATTTAGTAAAAGTTGCCTCCATCTCTGCTTTTATATGGAGTGGTAATATGCCGGCTAGAACTGTTGCTGCACTGGTGGCGGTTGTGCGGTAGGCTTTGCTTAATTGCAGGGCGAAGGGGCGTTGTAGCGTTGTAAGTTGCCTGATCTTGCGAGTACCCATTGGCTGCGCCCAGATCACTGCAGCGTATAAAGCTATTTTTTCTACAACTGTGAGGTATAGCACTTTTTGGATGTGGGGGTTTTGGCCCCAGTTGCGACCTTGAAATTGTCTTGCTATGCGGGCGATAATTGACGTCTTGTTTCTGGTTTCCATGATATGCGGAATCCAAGGTGAGACCTTGGTCCCATACTACCCCTAAATACTTGAGATTCCGCACAATTTTGATGTTTCGGCCTAGGAGTTTTATGCATGGACGACGAGTTGGATTGGTACCTCGTCTGGGAATTATTATTGCTGACGATTTTCCTATGGAGATCGTGAGCTTTAATTTGTTGCATGCGGTGGTAAATAAGGTGCAGGTCTCTGTGCTGTTGCGTTCCAGTTCTTTCCTGGTGCGTCCTCTTACGAGCAGGGCTACGTCGTCTGCATAAGCAGTGATGTTTGTATGCTGTGGCCAGTTGGTTTCAAGGACTGAATTGAAGGTGAGGTTCCAGAGTGTCGGTCCCGCACAGGACCCCTGCGGACAACCTTTTTCTTGTACCTTGGATGTCGTACCGTCGTTATTTACAAACTGAATATGGCGGTCGTGGAGGTAGCTGTTGAAGATGTTGAATAGGTTGGAGGGGCAGTGTGCTCCTCTGAGGGCCTGCTTAATTGCTGGCCACCAGAGGGTGTCGAATGCACTCTTTAGGTCTATAGAAATGAAGGCTGTGTGCATGTCGCTGTTTTTATTGCGTAGTATTGTATCCTGAATATTGTAAAGGGCATGTGTCGTGGAAAATCCTGTGCGGAATCCATACTGCCGGGGGCTGAGATGGATGGTTAATTCTGTGCAGGTGGTGCTTGAGCCTGTTAACGAGGAGTTTTTCATAAATCTTGCCTAAAGCAGAGAGGAGGCAGATGGGCCGGTAAGAACTTGGGTCTTGTGGGTTCTTATTCTTTTTAAGAAAGAGAACGACATGTCCTCTTTTGAAGGCTGCTGGAAAGATTTGTTGGTGAAGAAGTTGATTGAAGTAGGTCTTAAAGAAGGAGGGGCGTGCTTTATAAGCTGTATGGATGATTGAATAATCTAAGCCGTCAGGTCCTGGCGTATTTTTTCCGAGGAAGGTGACGGAACAGCTGTTTGATTTCTTTATCGCTAAAGGGTACATCGGGAGGTGTCGCAGGAATGGTGGTGTTATTGCGAACCTTTCGTTGTTCTATCGTGTCCTCTTCTGGGTCATCGTTTGAGAAGACGGTGTCCAGAATGGTGGAAGCTGTGCTCTGCACGATGTTGGTGGTAGAATCCATGGTGGGTTGTGCGTGGATCTGGGCCGGGTTAAAAATCTTATTCGACGAGATTTTGTGTAGGATCCCGTAAGGATTGTTGTTGTTGGTACAGAAGGTGCGCCAGCTGGTGACTTTAGCCGTGATGATGTTCTTTTTGTATGCTGCACGCTCTTTACGGTATGTCATGAGTAGGTGTGTCTTTTCTTCTTCGTTAATAGTGGCGCGGAGACGTCGTCGAAGGGCTCTGCATTTTTGCCTTTGCTGCCTCAGCTCTTTGGTCCACCAGCTGACACCCTGTATTTTCTTGGCCACACGGATAGGAAGGTGATTTTTGCATGCTTCGTGTAAGCTTTCTATCAGATGATTCGTGTAGTGCTCCATGCCGTCCGGGCTGCTGAAGTTGTAAATGTACTTTTCTTCTTCTCTGAGTAAGCGAGTGAAGGTGTGGGTAATGGGACGAATCTTATTGCTTGGTAACTTAAAGCGTCGTAGGATAGTAATGGAGGTGTCGCAGTCTACTTGAAAATGGATGTACTTATGGTCTGAAGCACTTTCCTCGTCTAAGATGGTCCAGTTTTGGATGAAGGATGCTATGTTGCTTGTAGATATGGTGAGATCCGGCCAGCCCTTTCCGTAGGTACTATCGTAGGATGGTGGCGCATTTGGTGCGTTCAATAGCTGCAGGTCTTGGATTGCTAGGAAGTCTTCGAGTTCTTTTCCTTTCATTGTGGTGTCTGCGTAACCCCATATGGAGTTATGCGCATTGAAATCACCACCTAGGAGGAGTGGTGTGAAAGGATACTTTTCCTTGGTTTCCTGTATGTTGACGATGGCGTTGCTGATGTCTTCCGTGGGGGAAGAGTAAACAGAGGCAGCGATGATTTGTATGTTGTTGTAAACGAGTAAAATGGCGATGTAGTCTCTTTTGAGTGTGATAACGAGAGGGGACCAAGAAGGATTGCAACAGGCGATAACTGCTCTGGGGGCTTGATCATTCGTACCTGCTTGTGATTGAAAAATTTTCCAGGCTGTTGGAAGGCTGGCTACACGACGATCTTTACAGTATGGTTCTTGTATGAGAAGGAGGTCCAGGTTGTGGGTGATGACATGCTGGACCAGTTGGGAGGCAGCTGCTTGAGCTCTTTGTAAATTGATCTGAGCACAGCGTATTGGTCCATTTGTCTTGGGAGTGTCTGTGATTGCTGTTGTGAGGATATCGTTGCTGAAATTCTGTAAATCATCCATAGGTGGTATTGCATTTAATTCTGCTGATGTACCGTCCATAAGTTGGGCAGGTGACATCGTAGGCTGGGTGGTTGCAGGGTGATTTGCTTTTTGTGCGGTAGTTGTAATCCGCACAGTTGATGCAAGTGGCCTTTTGGGATTTGCAATCTGTGATCTTGTGATTGCCTGAGCAGTATGAGCAATATGCTTTGTTTTTGCATCTGTCTTGGGTATGCCCAAACTCCTGGCAGCGGTAGCAGCGACGGGTATTGAAATGTTCAGCGATGCGGTATGCCCGCCAGCCGAGATACAATCTTGATGATTGCATGATGGTGTGGAAAGCTGCGGGTTGGCATTCAACGATCCACTTGACGCCATTGCCCCTATCTTTTAACCTATAGAGGACTTTGGCGTTGCTTTTGGAGATCTTAAATTCTGAGCCAATAGCTTGCTCTATTTCCTCCTGAGTGATATTAGGAGGGACGATGTGGATTGCTACCCGTGGGAGTCTAATGATTGGCAATCTCGTTTTAACGATTTCTCGACCCTGTGTACTTTGGAGTGCTTGGGTGAGCTTTTCGAGATCTTCTTTAGTGGCACAGTCGACTGCTAGTCCTTCCTCCTGGATGTTACGGACTGTCGCGATTTTGATGCCCAATGAGGGAAGTGGGAACTGTGCGCTCAGCTTCTCTTTGAGCTCCTTTCTGGTTGTTCTGGTGTCCTCTTTCGGATAAACAAGCAGAGTGTGCTTATAGGATTGTGAGGTCGCTTGAGCGTATGTGCGCGTGATGTTGTAAGTAGGCAGAATAGGTGTGGCAATGGGTGGTGAGGTGGCTAACTCCTGATCTGTGTTAACTTCCGCATCAGTTGTTGAAGGTACGGAGGACAGTCCTCTGAGGGCCAAATTTCGGAGAGCTTCCAGAGTTGTTGTTAATTGGTCTCTGAGATCAGCAGGTAACAGGAATCGTTTGTTCCTGATAGTTGTACCAATTGTTTTTGCTTCTTCAATAAGTGAGTTCACTTTATCGGAGTAGTTATATTGCACTGATTCGATTAGGATAGCTGTGTCTAAGTTGCTATGGTGCACTGACGTGTCGGCTTCTGGCATGATACACTTGTGTGGTTGGAGCTATGTAACACTATGATCACTATGTGAAATGCCGAGGTCTGTAATAAATTTCTGATAAGTAACACAAGTACTGGAGTAAAATTCTAGGGGGACTGTAGATAGAGTATTAAATAAAAAGACCTCTTGGTATCTAACACAAAGAAAATTACTAGCACAGTAAGTCGCAGATAAGCGATGCTAACTGGATAACATTATTTACCATGCTAGAGGCATAATTGTGAATGCAGAACAAAAATGTAATTAAAAAAATGGATTACTATGACTATTAAAATCAAAGCAACATTGTAAACAGGTAAATTTAGCTAAACATCAGCAACAACAACAACAAAAAATACTAAACAATTTGCTAATGCTGGCATTACTCTAGACTGGTAAAAAGTATAAAGCTTACTGAATATAAATAAATTATAGCTTAAGTAGCTGCTGAATGGGGATAACTACTGAGGAATTGGAAAGCTACAGATGAGGTGGCAGGAGGAATGAAAAAATAATGAGCTTAATTAACTAAGTAGTTAAATATGTTAGTGGGTAGTTGAGATAGAGGAGGAGGAAAGGGGAAGGGAGATTGGCGTAGAGTTGTTAGCGCATTCGAGGGATCAGAAATTAGAGAAATTGAGATTAGATAATGCAATAAATTAGAATTATATTAGCCGTATGCAGTAAGCTGGCGAATTATTGAAAGTGTTAGTGGGAGTTGAGATAGAGAGGAGGAGGAAGGGTAAGGGAATTGATGTGAAATTCGTAAGGAGTTGTTAACGCATTAGAGGGATCAGAAATTAGAGAAGTAAAAAAAAAAAATTATATAATATAATACAATAAATTAGAATTATATTAGCCGTAAATTATATAATACAATAAATTAGAATTATATTAGCCGTGTGCAGTAAGCTGGCGAAATTATTGATTATACATTGCAGGAAATTAAGATTATATTAACATGTGAGACACAGTAAATGAGAATTATAATACAAAAATAATGCAGAAGATTAAAGTTATGTTAACCGAGGAGCAGAAAACTGGAAATCATAAAGAATATACAACGAAAAGAATAATAATAGTAAAAAAAAAAAAATTACAATTTCTAGAAAGCACAATAACTGAGCGTTATAATGAGATTATTACTCGGAAGGCACAGTATTTCAAAATTAAAATGATTATACAAGCAGAAAATTAAGATTAAAATTTCCGAGAAACATAATACTCAGTTAATATTCTACGTACTACGCGTTAAAAATGTTACTGAAAACAGTAAGCAGGAAATGTGAGAATCATTATTATAAATTTAAAATATATATATATACAGACAACAAGCAGTATGTTCAAAAATTAGCCATGGGGTGCTAGAAGAAAAGATCTAATAGTTGAGGAAATGCTGCGCTAGAATAAATCAGTCTTGTAACACTGATATAACGTTGAAGAAATATATATTGATGTGCACCAGGTAAAGAACTAAGTCTTGGAAGTAATCAGTAGCAGTAGCGCATGGGAAAATAGTTCTTGCAAAGTTCTTTAGATGGCAGTGCAGAGTTGACTTCCGTAATAGCTCCCAAGTGACCTTACAGGGTAAGGGAATGTAGAGGGGGCTGGACAGTGGACGTTGTACTTAGGCCAGTAGCAAACGCTCCACAGTGAGCGCATGCGCAGACTATATAGTAGCAGAGTGTCTCAGGGACCAACCCTGCGGTGTTATAAAGTGACGCCAACTGACAGAGTCGAAGAGGGTAGAAACGTGAATTAAAAACGATTAAAAAATCATTAAAAGTTTAATAAATATTGTTATAATTAGGCTATTGACATAAGTGATATACCAGATGATTGATAATAGGAAGGCCTACCTCCTTATTGTTAAATGAAGGCTGTAGCACCAGGGGTTCCGGAGTAATCCTTTGTAACGATTGAGTAAATGGCTAAAAAGTGATCTTCATTAAAAACTATATAAAATCACACACGCTCGGCACACACTCACAAAAATTGTACGAGAGGAGAGAGAGCGAAATGTATCCCCTATTCAACCGTATGACGATTGTGGATGGATTACTTCTAGATTTTACACAATCGATTTATATAAAACAGGTAACAATCGGCACTTCACTCAGTAAACAATGGAAATTGCGTGGTATCCGTCGCGAGAAACACAATAATTAAAAATGTAATATCTCCGGAACTGCTGAAGTTATCCACTCGATTTTTACACCGAATTAATCCACAGATTATGCACTTTCCGATAATATAACACTTAGAATCCTAGGATGAGTAATTCCGTTGATGACTTTGGCTTACTACGGAGCTCGTGCATTTCGCGGCAACAATCTTCTTCGTACAGCATCCGCCGAGCTTAATCATAGTATTTTTTGTGCTTTGTGCGAAGAAATCGGTGCTATTCATACTGTGTTTCTTTATCCTATGAAAATAAAGTAGTTCCTCAAAGGGCCGCAGGCTGACCAGGGTTTATGAATTGCATGAAGAAATTATACAGATCAACCAAAATAGTGATTCAGTAAAAGCTTTTGGAAATAGAGACACATTGTTTTCGATAGCCTACCTAGCAGATATATTTAAACATATGAATGACGTAAGCACTTCAATGCAAGGATTTGGCAAGAACATGATAACAGCTAGGAAAAAATTAGTTGCATTTATCGAAAAATTAAACCTTTGGAGACGTAGAGTTGAACATGGGAATTTAGCAAACTTTCTTTTGCTGAATTCAGCCATTTTAGAAAATGAAAAACTAATAATTATACCAAAAATTGTAATACACCTCTAGCAATTGAGTGAATCATTTGATGGATATTTTGGACTGGAAATATTATCAAAATTAATAGATGAATACTTAGTCCATTTTTGTTTATCCAAATTCAGTAGCTGACAACGATTTTTTAAAATAAGATCTTATCTAAATACGAGGAACTGGAATTATGGAATGGACGTATGGAAATAGAATTAGAAAAACTAGACTTAGAACAGTTCTGGTGTAAACAATTAGAAGCTTATCCACAACTGGCAAAGGTGGTACTACAGAAACTTTTAACTTTTGCCACCATTTACCTTTGTGAAATGGGATTTTCAACACATTTGCACATCAAAATCGCCAGAAAATGCTTAAAAGCATCCGATAACGTACACGTTCAAACGAAGAGCCTCGTTTCAATAGAATTATTGTGAATAAACAGCAACAACTTAGCCAATAAAATTTTAATATTGCTTTTTACGTTATATAGTAGTATAAATTGCAAATAAACACGGCATTTGTTTATGCAATAAATACTTTTTCTTATATAAAAAATTCACACATTTTTAAGGGGGTGCAAGAACTTATTTTCAGATTTATGGGGGCGCCGACAACTAAAAACGTAAAGAACAGCTGCTTTAGACGATCAGATAGGTCCCCTTTGCTAGATAGGCCTGACACATACAGTCTAGAATTGTGAACTCTGAAAATTGTGGATTTTCCTTTCAGCCCAGAATTCAAGAAATGATTATAGTCTTTATTTTTGAAAATACTGGTCCTAGTCCACAATTCCAGTTAATAATAGTCCTAGTCCTATAATTCCAGTTAAAGGTTCTCAAAATAAATTACACTCTGTAACATAAAAAGGGACTTACTAAGGATACATTATCCGAATGAGACTCAAATCGTTAAATGTTATGTACATGTATTGAAACCAAAACTCTAACAGTACCGTAAGAATTGGATATTTTATTCAGGAAATACAGCTCCAAGAGGAAAAAAATTAATAATGTGGACTCACCTCTGGTTTTAATGCAAGCAGTTATTCGGCTAGTCATTGACTTGTCGAGTATCAGAGTCTTGTTTCCTTAAACACAGCTCAAGGCCGCTCTGGTAAGAAAACGAACATTTTTGAAAATCGAAAGGCTTCCTTTTAATCTGTAAACTGAAATTTATCATAATAGTACTCTATTTCATATTCAGTAACATTTTAAAGAGTCACTTTGTGCATAGGAGGCAAACAATTTTTAAATAATGTTATAATTTAATGTAATATAATTTAAATAATGTTATTATATAAGTTATAATGCCAGGATGCTATAAAAAGCATTTTATAAAGATAATTGCGTTTTAATTTAAGCTATTGTCATATCTTCTGTTTGTAGTCTAACGCACATACGATTTTCTATACCATATTATCATGTTAATGCCAAGTGAATATTAGACATTAGAGCCAAATGAGTGCGTTATAGCAACAAACTGATGAACGTTAAGATAAAATAAAATATTTATTCTCTTACAACCAATCTGTGTTTTTAGATTTAAGAATAAAAGTGAAACTAGCAAGATAACCGAATATCTATTCCACATTTCCTCTTCTTAAAGCAACAACATTTTTCTCATCAAGATCGAAAGCCACCTTTTGATTTCTCTCCAAACTCCTTCAATTTCGAAAGTGAAAAACTAGTTTTGTTGATCTAGACCATAATTTCGGGTTTATGGCTACGAGTTCGTCATAAATTCTTGGGCATAAATGATAACAAGTCTCCGCCGACGTTGATGTATCTAAGACAGAAGCTCCAAAGAACTAAAATATGAATGAAAAGCTTTACTTTTCTACCACATACCCAGAGTTTACTAGCCTTTTTTAAATCAAAACTCAAGACGAAGGTTTAAATGAGCCAGCAAAAATAATTCCAATCCTGTAATTCCTTTTCTTCAAGACCAACTTTCGTGTATTTTATTCGATGTCACTTGCTTCAAATTTCAAGCTAAGAAAGACATATAGAGTATTTTGAACTCATTTGATAGATATTTCCATTATCATATTTAGTGCAAAAAATATTTAAAAAGAAAAAGTGTCTTAACGTAACTTATGAAAACGTGTCTTAACTAACGTAACTGGTCAGTCTGAAACGTAACTTATTAGGACGAAAACTCCTAATATATTACGCCTAGGCATGACACATTCTGTCTGTATTATATTGCAGTGATTTGTGCCACAGAAATCTAGTAGTGAATAAGCAAT